CCCCCGTATGAAAGCGTGACTGCCTCACATGAGAAGGGAACCTCAACATCCGCAGCAGGAGAAGCACCACCAGCTGTGAAAAGTCTGTTGGAAGAGTGGTTGACAAACACTCTGAGTAACATACTCGACAAACCTGTTCAAAGGGATATCAGAGACACAATACATGCAGACATCGCAACTGTCGCCGGTGAGCTAGAAACTCCACGCACAGGCAACACTCATATTGTCGTCGATACAGGTAACGATGCACTTGCAACCATCTTAATAAAAATGGAAGAAATGGAAAATGAGAACAAAACGCTCCGTGATCAGATGAAGGAGCATCAAGAAAGGGTCGATAAAATACCGGGCGCTCCGAAGTTGCTACCAAAACGGGATGTTGGTCGATTCGTCGAGAAACCGTACAGTGAAGGGGCAGCCCCCCACTCTATCCCAAAAACCTTCAAAATGCCACCATACTTGAAAATATATGATGGTACTACGGACCCGGAAGATCACATAATCCACTACGTCACAGCCGTAAAAAGTAACTATCTGTCGAAAGAACAGGTGTCATCACTGCTGCTGAAAAAATTTGGCGAAACCCTGACAGGGGGAGCGCTAACGTGGTATTCTCAACTACCGGAACGGTCAATATCAACGTTCGAAGAAATGGCAGAAAAATTCGTCACCGCTCACGCGGGAGCGAAAAAGGTAGAAGCCAGGGTAAACGACATCTTCGCCATTAGGCAGACGACGGGCGAAGGACTCAAGGACTTCCTAGCCAGATTCAATAGGGTAAGAATGATCCTACCAAACGTATCAGAGGGGATGGCGAAATGGGTCGAAAGCAACCAAAAAACTGCTAAGTAGGCTCATGAAATATCCTCCCACCACTTGGGAAGAAATCCATAATGCCTATTGTGCCGAAGTAAAGGCAGATGAGGACGACCTAAATGGTCCGATTCAATGGCTAACATCAGTCCAAATCGAAACAAGGAGAGATCGCCACAATGATGGCCGAAGGGATCAATTACCCCGTTTCAGTCAAGAAAGGCACCAACCCTACATCCGTACATCCATACCACCTCCTCCCCGACATGGAGATGCCACTCCTCGACACACCGCGCCACACCGAAACGAAAGAGGTATGCCTCCATTATTATCTGCTCATAACTTTTGTGTTTCTCCTTTAGAAATAGTGTATGCACTAGAAAAGCTCGACACAAAGGTACAGTGGCCGCAAAAGATGAAATTCGATCCGAGCACCCGGAGATCGAATGTTCTGTGCGAATTCCATCAGGAAAGAGGGCATAAGACCGATGACTGCATAGGCCTGCGACAGGAAGTAGTAAGAATGCTAAACCAGGGACACCTGAAGGAACTGCTGAGCGATCGGGGACGGGTTAACTTTGCCCGTGGATGCGACCAACCTCAAGGACCCCCAAAACCATCTTTACCGGCTCGTACCATACAAATGATCATCGGCGGCAGCGATGATACAGTAACCAACCATGTAAAATTCACCACTACACACAAACTTAAGCGGACAGTCGCTCACGAACGGTACGACGGCCTCGAAGACAGTATCATCTTCGATAAGTCGGATACCAACGGTTTGTCTTTACCTCACTATGATGCTCTAGTTATAACTTTACGTGTCGCGGACACCGATGTAAAAAGAATAATGGTAGATGGCGGAAGCGGTGCGTGTATTATTCACCCACGAGTCCTCATACAGATGAGACTCGAGGATAAAATAATACCGCACTGCATAACGCTAACGGGTTTTAATAATGCAGCAGAACGAACCTCTAGGGAGATAGTGCTGCCCATTCTGGCAGGAGGAGTCACACTGGAAACGACCTTTCACGTCATGAACCAGGAAACAACCTACAATGCTATCATAGGGCGCCTATGGATACACGCTATGAGAGCCATCCCATCAAGTTTCTATTAAGTAATCAAATTTCCTACTCTATGGGGAATATTCAACATCCGGGGCGAGCCATGCATCGCCCAAGAATGCTACCGAATCGCCCAAGATTGCACACACACCCACCAACTAAAGGGAGCAAGTGCGGAAGCATAGCAATCAGCCATATCGGGAGCCAAACCCGACATACAAATAGAGGCCATCAAAGACCCAGATGTCGTAGAAGCCTGCAAGGCAACCGTAGAAGACCTCGATCCCGTTCTATCGGACAGCAACAACAACACGAAAAAAGTTTATATCGGGCACAACCTCTCAGAACCAGGTAAGTTCCATGAATTTTTAACTAATAATGCCGATTTATTTGCCTTTTCCCATTCAGATATGCCGGGAATCCCAAGGGACATCACCATACACAGGTTGAATGTCAACCCCTTTGCCCGCCTGTGCGGCAAATGAGGAGAAAGTTCAACACCGCCATCAACGATGCAGTCAGCGAAGAAGTCGATAAACTGCTCGCTAATGGTTCCATTCGAGAATCAAAGTATCCTTAGTGGGTCGCCAATGTGGTCATGGTGAAAAAGAAAACGGGAAGTGGCGGATGTGTGTCGACTTCACCGACCTAAACAAAGCATGCCCAAAAGATTCCTTTCCATTACCACACATCGACCAGCTCATCGATGCAACGACGGGGCACGAATTGTTAAGCTTCTGGGATGCCTATTCTAGTTACAACCAAATTCTAATGGCAGAAGAAGACCAAGAAAAGACAACTTTTATCACTCACCGGGGAACGTACTGCTACAGAGTCATGACGTTCGGACTCAAGAACGCGGGAGCAACATACCAAAGGATAGTCACCAAAATGTTCAAAGAACAACTCGGAAAGACGATGGAGGTCTACATCTACGATATGCTAGTGAAGTCGAAAAGGAAGAAAGATCACATTGATCATCTGAAGGAAGCCTTCGGAATATTGAGGCAATACAGAATGAAACTGAATCCCGATAAATGCGCCTTCGGCGTAACCTCGGGTAAGTTCCTCAGCTTTTTAGTGTCGCAAAGAGGCATCGAGGTCAACAAAGATCAGATCAAGGCCATCGAAGGAATACCGGAGACATTAACCAGCAAAAAGAAGGTACAAAAATTGACAGGATGAATAGCTGCCCTGTCGAGGTTCATCTCACGATCATCAGACAAGTGCCATAAATTTTTCAATGTGTTAAGGAAGGACCACGAACTACAGTGGAATGCAGAATACGTCGACGCCTTAAGAAAGCTTAAAGCATACCCGTCCTCGCTGCCATTACTCGTTAAGGCAGATCCAGGTGAATGCCTCCTGGTGTACCTAGCAGTGTCCGAAGTCGCGGTAACTGCAGTTTTGGTCCGCAAAAATGAAGCTACGCAATCTCCAATTTATTATATCAGCAAAACCTTAATTGATGACGAAACAAGGTACCCCCACCTTGAGAAATTATCCCTGGAATTAGTCATAGCTTCACGAAAGCTTAGACCATATTTTCAATGTCACCCCATAAAGGTGGTGACGACCTTCCTCCCCAGGGGCATCCTACACAAACCCGAACTATCGGGTAGATTGGCCAAATGGGCCATAGAATTGAGTGAGCACAATATAACATATAAACTGCGAACTGCAATAAAATCGCAAGTGCTCACCGATTTCAGTGCGGAAATACTGCCCGAAGCGTAGCAAGAAGCGCTCCGCACTTCTGCACGATCTGACCTCTGGATCCTCTACACCGACGGCGTATCTAATGCGTTAGGATCGGGATTGGGACTCATCCTCAAAGTCCCTACTAGCGAAGTGATTCGCCAATCCATACGGTGCCCTGAGATGACAAACAACGAGGCCAAGTATGAAGCTCTAATTGCAGGATTGAAATTAGCCCTCAAATATGGCACTCGACGACTCATCCTCCATTGCGACTCTCAACTCGTGGTGAATCAAGTCACTGTGACTTTCCAAATCAAAGAACAAAGATTGCAGAAGTACCAGTCGGAAATTCACAAACTACTACCAGAATTCGATGAATCCCGCCTCAACCAGATACCCCGGGCGCAGAATATCGAAGTGGATGGTCTCACCAAGCTAGCAGCAGCCACCAGAAATATCAGCAAAGAAAATGTGGTCACCCTTCTCCATTCCTTGATATACCAGGCCGAGGTACACTCTATATATTTAACTTGGGACTAGCGCAACCGTATCATAACATATTTGCAGGAAGGAATGCTCCCACAAGATAAGAAAGAAGCCAAAAAGCTCCGAATGCAGGCGGCCAGGTACAGCCTCGTGAACTATGATCTTTACAAAAGGACGTTCGGCGGTTCCCTGGCCAAATGCCTTGGGCGTAATCAAACAAGGAGGGTACTAGAAGAAGTACATGAAGGTCACTGCGGTGCCCATACGGGAAACCGTGCCCTCGTTAGATGCCTCATCCGCGCAGGATACTACTGGCCTACCATGAAAAAAGAAGCCGCGGATTGCGTCAGGAAATGTGAACAGTGCCAAAAATACGCCCCTATGATACACCAGGCAGGAGAACTCCTGCATTCCATCACTTCGCCATGGCCATTCATAAAGTGGGGGATGGATATTGTCGGGCCCCTCTCAGCAGGGCGAGGTAAGCTGCACTTCCTTTTGGTTTTAACTGACTACTTTTCTAAATGGGTGGAAGCAGGTGCATACACTCAAATACGTGAGAAAGAAGTTATCGCATTCATATGGAAAAATATAATATGCCGCTTCGGCATCCCCAAAGAAATCAGTTGCGACAACGGACCTCAGTTCGTCGGGAAGAAAACAACCGAGTTTTTTGAAAAATGGCATATCAAGCAAATACTCTCCACACTATATCATCCCGCTGGCAACGGCCAAGACGAATCCTCCATTAAAACGATATTAAATATATTGAAAAATAAACTCGAGGACGCCGAGGGGCTATGGCCCGAATTGCTACCAGAAGTACTATGGGCATACCGCACCACGCCAAAAACCAGCACAGGCGAGACTCCATATTCATTAGTCTGCGGGACTGATACCATTATACCCGTTAAAGTCGGAGAACCTAGCCTGAGATACTCCAACGAGAGTGGATCAAGTAACGACGAAAGCATATTACAAGACCTGGATGAAGTCGAAGAGCGAAGAGATATGGCTCACGTAAGAATGATAGCCCAAAAGCAACGAGCAGAAAGGTACTATAATAAGAAAGCCAAAGTACGGAAACTAAAAGTCGGGGACTATGTTCTCAAAGCTAGAACACAAGCAGCGAAAGACCCAAATGAGGGAAAACTGGGAACAAACTGGGACGGGCCATACAAAATCACGGCAGCAGCAATCAAACGAGCATTCCAATTAGAGACAATGGAAGGAAAACTACTCCAAAACAACTGTATGTCGCCCATCTCAAATACTTCCACTTCTGAAAAGAGGCGTCGCCTACGTCGTACTTTTTTTCCCTCACATGGGTTTTGTCCCGATCGGGTTTCTTAGTGAGGTTTTTAATGAAGCGGTCAGGGGGATGTCTCGAGGTCCGAAGTATTGTTCATTGCCCCGCCTGCCGACGTCATCTCCAGGCCGAGCAATGAAGGGACTAGGTATAGATAGTCAAATCTCCATTATATGTACGAAGTCAACGTGTACTTCCGACATGGATATTATCAAATCTCCATTATATGAACGAAGTAAACATGTATTTCTGACAGGAATATAATCAAATCTCCATTGTATGAACGAAGTCAACATATATTTCCGACAAGAACATAGTCGAATCTCCAGTGCATGAATAAAATCGACATACGCGACACTCCAGCAGATGCACTGGCTAAGGCCATCATCAAAGTAAAAGGTTCGACATCACTCGAACCACGACGGGATACTACTTCGACACCAGCTTGAAAGTAACATCCCAATGACTAAGGCCATCATCGAAGTAAAAGGTTCGACATCACTCGAATCACGACGGGATACTACTTCGACACCAGCTTGAAAGTAACATCCCAATGACTAAGGCCATCATCGAAGTAAAAGGTTCGACATCACTCGAATCACGACGGGATACTACTTCGACACCAGCTCGAAAGTAACATCCCAATGGCTAAGGCCATTATCGAAGTAAAAGGTTCGACATCACTCGGACCACGACGGGATACTACTTTGACACCAGCTCAAAAGTAACATCCCAATGGCTAAGGCCATCATCGAAGTAAAAGTTTCGACATCACTCGAACCACAACGGGATACTACTTCGACACCAGCTCAAAAGTAACATCCCAATGTCTAAGGCAAAAATTGAAGTAAAAGGTTCGACATCACTCAAACCACGACGGGATACTACTTCGACACCAGCTCGAAAGTAACATCCCAATGGCTAAGGCCATCATCGAAGTAAAGGGTTCGACATCACTCGAACCACGACGGGATACTACTTCGACGCCAGCTCGAAAGTGACATCCCAATGGCTAAGGCCATCGTCGAAGTAAAGGGTTCGACCTCACTCAAAGCAAAATGGGCTTAATATTTCGACAAAGACCTAAACTATCATAATTACAACAAAGATCTCCACCAAATCGACAAAACAATTTTTCATTACAACAAAAATATTACAAGCACCTATCTTTACAAAGGGCTCAAAGACGCCCTTACAAAAGTCGCGAAGCAAAAGTAAGTACAAAGCAAAAACTACACATCTTCGTACCAAGAGTTAGATGCAAGACGGTTCGCATCATCAGAGTTGATATCATCCCCGTCAGGAGTAAGAGGGTCGTATCTGCATGCCTCACGAGCTGCACGGGCTTTGGCACGCATATCCTTAAGTTCTACTTCATACGTCCTCCCGTCGGCATGAAAAACCTTGTACACATCAAGCTTAGCCTCAGCGTGAACCCACAACTCATACAAACGATGAGTCACGATAGGATCGGTCGAAGCACGAGACGTAGAAGGTTGCAATTGTCGACGTACGTCCTCCATTCTCAGTGACGCCACTTTTTCATTTAACGCAGAT